GGCGTTGTTCTAGCACCTGACGCAGTGTGAAGATTTGGTCAACACAACCCCTACCAGGCCGGAATCCCGCTTGCTGCTCTCGCGTAGATTACTTCAGTAGATCCATTCATCCGGTCCCCGAGGACCGCCTGTGAGCGCCAGTGGTAGGTAGCATGTTTTCGCTTACCCGCTCTTCTGTACACTGGAAGTAACGCGACCCGGCTGTTGACACCACGTGACGGGTGATGTGGCATGAGAGTTGTGTGTATCACGGTGCCCAGACCTAAACGGGAGGACGATTAGGGTCCTGAACCAAAGCCTTTGGCTCAAAAGCCTGATCACAAGGCAGCGGTGTCCGGAAATGGGAGTGCTTTTCAGTATTTACGGAACAAGCCTCCACACATGTTCCAACGTGCAAAATGGAGGGCCAGGGTCAGACGTCTAACTATTGACCAATCTGGTATGTGAAACTGGGTGCGTCACGGACACCTCCCCGTATGGCTCAAAACGTAACAGAGGTGCACAAACAGTCACCATGGTAAGGTCCTGTCTCTTTGTGACAGAGTCAGGTAAGTCGGGGTGAACCAAATACTCGTTGAAAATAATGAATCCTAATCCGCGGTCCATTCTGCGGATGAAAAATGAAGTCGATTCACCTGATTGAGAAGTTTTGAATGTTTATCTATCGTTTTGGGCTCGTACTCATCAATTCACTTATTTGCTTACAGGTGCGGGAGGAGTACTTCCGGCGTCTCAGTGAGAGCACTAGCCAACGAGTCACCTATTGGAGCATCGGACAATTGGTTCTGCTTGGCGTCATAGGTTTTTGGCAGATGCGACATCTGCGTTCCTTCTTCCAGGCAAAGAAGCTCGTATAGATAGAACCAAGAACTTCATTTGTGATATGACACTGGTTTGGATCCTTGTTCCATTGAATTACCGATGTTTTTCCTGGTTTGAAAGGTTTGTTCATTACTCGAGTTTTATTGAGAATCGGCATTGTACCTAACTTACGTGACCTCCGACACGTATCGCTTTGTGCAAAACTAGGCTTGTATCAGGTCTACTTTTTGTCTTTTTCCCCCTATGTTCCTGCAGTTCAGCAACTTGCCAGGTTTCAGTCTGTAATTTCAGCCTTGTGGTGCATTCTTCTGTGTTCTCTGTATTTGTACAACTCTTTTTCAGAACTTAATTGTGGTGTAGTTCTGCCCATTAGTGGCGTAGTCCTGGGTACCTTAGGTCAGATTGGTCTGTTCGTGACGAGTACCTATGACTACAAACCTTAAAAATCGGATGTTGTTACATCCGTACCATAATGGACGATGCGATCAAAAGCACTTCGGTCCACATCTACAGTTGCGCCGGTCTGACGCCTATTTACTGTGTGCAACGGGCGCGCGAGCGAAAACATGTTACTGCTGACGATTTCCGTGTTGCACTTTCGCATATTTCATCCCATTCCCCTTGGCACTTACCCCACAGGATCAAATATTCATTGATGTACATCACCTTATTGATGCTATCTGCATTGCCAACCCCAGGCGCCGAAATTACTCGTCAAAACCAGGTTCATTCAGCTGTACTTAATGTCTGCACTCTGAAGTAAGCGACCTGAGTTGACGGTGCATCTCCCGAATAGCGTGCAACCGAAGGTGGAGGATGCTCACGAGAAGAGCGAGAGATTTCTCGATTCCAAAAGTCAGGGAATTCTTCAGCAGAGCTGCTTCCCAGAAGGATGTAACCTACTAGGTATGGTAGGAAACTTTGCTACGCAATTGTGAATTGGATTGGGTTCGTCTGTTCGGGTAGCTGATTAACAGTCATACGATTGGTCTTGATAGTTGCCTTTTTTAGTGTCGCACGCTCTCGTCAACGCTTGAATCCGTGCATCACAACACTAGATGTGTAGAGGTATCCTGATCGTGTGGTAGTTGCTGAAAAATGTCGACCACTTGCGTATATCTGTCGGACCGAGATGACTCAGTGGTTAGAACGCGAATTTAGTGACCGGAAGGTCCGTGGTTCGAACCCGACCTATACCTCTCAACTTCCCTTGTCTAGGATTAGGCAACCTGGCAGTATCCAAGCCCTCGTGCTTCTTTTGGTAGGCATGACAGCTAGGCACCGGAAGGGTGTTACAGCTGAACGGTCTGTCGGACTCACTGAAGGTATTCGTTATCGCATGACATTTTGCTCTTCCGTTACGTTAGAAATGTTGAGAGCGTCGGTGACATTTCTTTTCACGTTAATACTAGTCCATTTCCCCACTGACTCTCGGGGCGTCGCGCAACACAATGGAGCGCACTCACTTTCGATCACCTTAAAGTGATTGGCATGGCTCAGAGAAAAAACCGCTTCTTTCTTTTTGAACAAAGAGGTCCTCAGAATAGCCTGGTGAAAAAAGAATGGACTCTCAGCTGCTTTGTTGGTCGAGGCGTGTGGTTAGAGCGCGAATTTACTGAACTGAGGGTCCGTGGTTCACACTCGACCTCTGCATCTCGACTTCCCCTGTCTAGGCTTGGGCGACCTGATAGTATCTCAGCCCTCGTGCTTCCTTGGGGTGTCATGACATCTTCCTAGGATAGTGGTCGCTGTGATAGCAAAACTCAGGAGTGCCATTATTGCAAACAAAAAGCATGTATTTCGGAAACAGAACCCGCCGTTTTCCAGCACAAGAAAGAACTGACCAAACAGTAGCATCAGTGTGGGTCGGATCACGTGTATAAGCTCAAGCCGATCGTCTCAAATAGTTTTAACTCATTTGTCCACCGGACATCTTGCCCTAAAGATTATCCAACAAGCCTCGTTGAATGCCGATAGTGATTCCGTTGACATCCAGTTTTCTTCATAGTAAATTTAGACTTCACTTATTCCTCTATTGTAAATGTGGGACTAAAGGCACGTGCTCCTCCGAGAGGGTATGTTTCCTAAAAGAACACCATTTCACTTGTTTTCGGGATTACGTGTCCATTACATATATGTATGGCAGACTTCTGCTATGAACTGCATTTGCCCATCACCAGTGATTAAACCCCTGCGTATCTGAGAATTGGACAGTTACTAGCATACTGCTATATGGTGGCCCGGGTCTGCTGTTCGTCAAATAGACCATACAGAGCAGAGCTTTGATGGCGCATAGTTCCAGAACATGCGTCGTTCTACGTATTCGTTGAAGTTAACAGTATATCACCCGGAGCGCATGGTCTTTTCCAATCACAGCCATCTTAGGCCTCTGCGCATACCTTGTTTATTTCACTGTTGATTGGTGCAACAGACTTCCACAGGAGCGACTCCTAATCAGCGATGTTTTCACGACTAGACTGGGCATTATTATACTGATGAATCTCATGAAAACCACTTGGATGATTGCATTCAAAATTAGGTGCTTTTTATACCGCTTTTCATTTTCACGGAAGTAGTGGGAAAAACATACGAGGTGATCCATTTTCCACGATGCATCGAATTTTGAAGGTCATGCACTGCGACCGGAATCTCCGTCGTTATCTGATTCGACGTTAAGCCAGTCTTTTGAGGACAGTGTGCGCTACCGTTGAAATGGGCGAGAGGAATATTCCATTCAATGAAAGACTAGACCTGAGAACATGCAATCTCCGCTGGAGTTCTAGGGAATTTCCCAAGTATTGAGGGGACATCTCACACAGCCCACGATTTTTTCAGCGAGGAGCGATTTTAACTGCAATGGTGTGTAGGAAGCTACTTCAAGAGTTACGTTTCAGGAGTCTGGTATCAAATTCGAATCAAATTAGTTTAGTGTGCAAGCTCCAATGGCTTACACCTGTCCAAAACTTGCTTGAGCTGGTTGAACAGATACTATCGTTGTTACTCGCTTAATCTCATGCTTAACCTCGTATTGCAAAAGATGATATCCATTCACAGATCGTCCTTCATTTTGTTACCCCTGTGATCCGTCTACGCGGATACCAGTAACGTTACAGTTAACCATGGGGAACATTCACGCGTCATTTTTTTGGTTTTGAGATATGGTACGTCGATGAAAATACTGGCGCACAAACGTGAGGAGCGAGCAGAGAGGGGGAAAGGTAGAAAATTACCTGAAGGAATATTGTTCTTAGGCAAAATGGTCTCTTTTTGTCCTTTGCGTTCAGCCCCGGCTAACTTATTCGAGTTTGGTTTCTGCTTGCATCGTCCCACATTCTGTTCTGCCTGTCTAACCAGACTTGAGAAGTATTTTGCTTTGTCATTCCGCTGCCTTAAACGTCACGGTGTTCCCCGTGCATTTCTTTCCCACTTACCTCATTCCTCGGCACCTCACAGCTTGCGACCGTTGTTCGCCTGATATCCTATCCGACAAAAATCCCACCCTGGATTCTGACCTGTCGACGCCCACTACAAGCTGTAGCACTATTCTACAAGAGCTGCCATTTATCTCGAAACACTTTTCTGACATTCAGTGGCCTGGTTAAACACAGTTCCATTCTGTCCACTTTCCAGACGCTCCCGTTATTGTAACTTCATGTTTATGCCACTAATGTATGTTACATACTACTAGTTGTCTGAATTTATATCTCCTAAATTTGGTGAACATTCTAGGTGCCCTGTACTTCCATACCTTCGGTTGTGTTAGGGTGTACAGTGAACTGTCCAAACGCTTGCACACGACTATTTGAGTTCGTCAGAGTTGTTCTCTCTCTTTTCGTTTAGCTTTCTCATCGATGTTTTCGTGGATTGCGCACTCCAGAAAGTCGTGAATCTAAGTATCGAGCTCATTACTGGAGAGATTAATGAACTTGTATTATGCTGACGACATCTCTGGTCATTTGACGCTTATGTACCCGTACAAACGGGATGTTGATCCCATGTTTTGACACGTGTGTCGCACATTCAAGGTGCAGTCTTACTTCCAAATTTTCCACCCCAGTTGTGACTATGAAACTTCACAACGATTAGCTTTCCCATCTTATCAGCTACGTTAGTTGTGATTGCAGTATAACAGCTGAAATCAATACACGGATAATCAAGACGGGGACAGTGACCTCTAGTCCGTCTCGTCTGTGGATTCCGAAACGAATTTCACGTGAGCTGAAGGCAACAATAAAAGCTTTGTGGTTGTGAGGCTTGGCCCTTCCCATCCAATGATTGATCAACGGTATCTCCACAGTATATCAAAGATTAGCCCCCTGCAGCGAGTGTCCAACGAAGTGGCGCGCAAGCGGTTATTTGATAACGAATCAGAATCGTTGGGACAGGATGTTAAACTTATCAGGTTAAGGTAGCTTGGATGTGCTCAGGACATTTCCAACCACATCTACCCAAAAAAAAACGTTGTTTCCTGTTCCAAACGATTGTTGACGAAAGCTTCGAGGGACGGTCCGTGAAATGAAAGTAGCTGAATCCGAGTGAGTGCCATGGGACCTTCGAGCCTTCCTGGCTACGGTCCACGTTGTGGACATGTTGCTGGAGACCCCATAGTACATGGTATTTTTAAGCGATTGCGATGGTGCGCATGCTGTCGGATTGACTAGAGTACGCCCTTCGTTGTGCGCCAGGAATGTGTTGGGTGGGGTTGACGAAGTACGCTGTGTTTGTCCCGCGGATGGAGCCCAATTTGGACAGGATGCCCAAATGTACTTGGTTTATTGTTGTCCAAAAGTGCGAACACTTTCATTTTGCACATTTTCTCTAGGGATATGCTACTTCTCTGCACTAAGTCCTTTCCGCTTTATACTAGGACTTTATTAATGATTGTATGACGGTTAAGCTTCAGTATATACTACAAGTGGATTGCTGTCATCGATGGCAACAGTTCATAGTTGTGGGTGGGATATTCGGCGGTTATTCTGCAGAGGTAAACATTCGATTACAAATTAATATGATATGAACCGGGGGGAACCCAATTAAGCCTAAGGATACCCTTCTGTTTCAAAGAAAAGGAACGCTGATAACAGAAAATCTATTTATTGTTTTGTATTTACTCAGCTCAAGAGGTGATGCAACGAATTCAGGTGTGATTACAAATCACCAATATTTCTGCTCGCGTTCAGTTCCCACCTGTTGGGACACACCCCATGGGGTTACAGAAAAATCGGCGACGCCTGGCTGCGTAACGGGTCTCGGATTGTTGGCTGTTTGCGCCACGCCACCATCTGGGTTTCGAGGAAATATCCTGTATATGTGGAAGAAAACATTTATTGTCAGTTTGCGGTCTCGGATAGATAAACAAAATGAATGACTTGCCCTGACTACTTTCCGATGGAT